GTTTGTGCTACAGCCTGGCTCCAGTGGCAGATCACATTCAGGAACTTCTGGATTCCCTTATTCAGGGCACTTTTAGGTTCAAGTGTCATTTATTCCCACAAAACAGACAGGCAGACAGTCCCTACTCAAGTACATAGAGCATTCTGCATCAGGTTTGAAATACAGGATTTTCACAAGAGACTTAGATAGGATGAGACCCAGCTCTTTTCAGAAGAAGCAGCTGGCTACTGGCTTATAATACCTACTTTGTGTGATGGAGACAGCATGCACACAACTAACGCTAACTGTAAGTAACACAGCAGATGTAGGTTATGTAGATGGGCCTAAAACAGCTATGTCTTACGCAAAATCAGTTCAATAGGACACACATATCTAATTAGACTGACATGAAGGGCAATGCTTTGAGGTCATGCAGGTTCTACAGCGTAGTCCCAAAGTTCAGGCTAAAACTTATTAAAGTAACAACAGACTTTTAATAGCAGCATTTTGCCTACGATTATATTTTTGTGTGTGTGCGCATTGTGTGATTCAAGCAACTGGACCAGAGCACCACAGATGGCTCTGGAGTTTTCTGGAGACCTCTGTTGATGCATCCAGATGAAAAGCTCTACCTCTGGCTTCTTACCTTTCCTTTGTGCGTTTCCTGCAGCCACTGACGCAGTCGGATCAAACAGCTTTCCTGCATTGGAGTTAGCTGTCCCAGGTACCGCTCAATGTAATCAGCATCCAGTTTGTCAGCTGGAGAGAAGGAAAACAGCAGTTCAAAAGAAGGTCACCTGGCAGAAAGGGAGGCCTTTGAGGATGTACCAGCTTTTCCATACACCAAGTTACTCAAAGTTCAAACTGAGAATATTGAGAGAAACCCTCACCCTCACCGCAGTAGTCTATCTGCCATCTTGATTTGGAAAAGCGTGTCCAGAGGAGTGACTGGAAATACTGCAATTATAAGTAAGAGCCAGAGGCTCAGGCAGTAATTCTAGCTATTCTAGCCATCACAGTGGGGTCATTTATCCTGCATTCAGTGGTGACAATGACCCTTTTAATTCCTAATCTTATCCCAAACCATAGGCGGGGGGAGAAAATATTGGTGGCGGGAGGGGGGGCTGAGCGTGCATGCACACCGCTTCCCAAGGAGGTAAGTCTGTGGAGGGGAAGAGGCGGGCGCAGATCAAGGACCCCATAGTGAGCGAGGGAGGGAGTGGGACAGAGGCAGGTCATTGGATGACTGGAGCCCCGGGAGGCTTGTACAGGGGTACAGGGGAGCTCCCACCACTTTGTGCACCCCAAGGGACACAGGGGGGAGGCATGTGCGCTCTGGGTTTGAACGTAGGGCAGAGGTGGCCTGCCATTGTGGGCTGGGCTCTGCGCCCTGCTGCCACCGCCTTGGGGCACCTGCTGCCCCTGTGCTGTGCTGCGTCCCCTACCAACCTGGCGGCAGCAGGTACATGGCGTCATGCAGCTCCTACAGCAGCAGCAAAGGCAGCGGGGCATGGAGTGCAACCCACAGTGGCAGCCCACCTCTGCCCCATACACAAATCCAGGGGGCATGTGCCCCCCTCTCCCCCCCATGCCTCCTCCAGGGTGCACGCATTGGCAGGAGCCCCCCCACGCCCATGGATGAGCCACCCAGGGCTCAAAAAGTCCCATGACCCGTCCTGGGGCCCTGTTCACCCCAGCCCCTGCCCCATTCCCTCTCTCACTGTGGAGGCCTCGATCTGCCCCACCCCCACATACCCCCCACTTCCTCTTCATAGACTGAGACTTGCCTGCCGCGCTAAGACCCCCCACCAACCCCCCCGCTGCAGCCACCCCGAGCCCACACCCAGGCTGCCCTGCAGCCCTACCTGCTACCCCATGTTGGGGGGGGGGGGGGGGGGGGGGCGCGACGGGGGGGCGCTAAGCCCCGTTAGCCCCAGCCTTCCACTGCCAATGTTCCAAAGCTGTCGGGGTTCTGGCTGGCTGGGGTTTTAAAAGGACAGCCCTGGAGAGTCAGATGCCCAGCTCACAGTAGATTTCAATGAGATCTGGGAACCCAAGTCCCATGGACTCTTTAAAAAACTCCCACAACTGTTCTTACACAAAGAGTAGGCAATGGGCAGTTTAGAAGCTGCTGAAATACTATTCCATAGATGGCACCAGGGGAAAAAAAGTGAACAACTTTAGAGGCTCCTTCATAATGTGCAAAGGATCTTTGCCATAAACATCTTGTATGACCAGGCAGCCCAAGGTCACTTCAGAGCACAGACAAAGGACAAGGGGGTTGCATCTGCTAGTGTTAGGAGACAGAGACAGATGTGTAGTTGGAGGCATGAGTGTGCAGAAGCTAGCAAATGGAACACTGTACCAACAGGGTAGCATCACAGGCATGCAGCTGTGCTGGAGGCATGTGAGGACAGAAGAGAAAGGAAAGAGGAGAGATGGAGAGGTGCCTCTCTTGGGCAAGCTCCACATCAGGCAGAATATTTCTGGCTCTGGATACAATAGACTACAGTACTGCAGAATGAGGACAATGCTGCTCCTCTCACTACTGAAGAACTTGATCTAAAAAAAAAAAGTCATAGCCCTGCAGCATTGAGAGGTGGCAGGCCATGGAGTACACCCACCAAGGGAAAGGAAGCAGGGAAGCTAGAAGCAACAGTTCAAGATTAGAGATGTGTGAAAAAAGGAAGCCAATATGAGGATACCCTTGTTGTTACGTCAGCTTTTCCACTCCTATAGCACCTTCTACCCAAAAGCCTCAAAGCCTTCCATCAATGTTAATTATGCCTTGTTTACCTGCTGGATAAGGAACAATATTTGACACATTTCACAGGTGAGTCAAACTCAGGTAACAAAAAAGCTCTGTAATAAAGCAGGAAAGGATGAAGGAGTCCCAGTTCTGGCCTTGTTCTCTAGGCTCCTGGAAACAGCTTCAATCATGAGGAACAGGGATCCTGAATTAAAATGTGGTAGAACTCCTGCTACTGCACTGACACACTTGACTGTCTCACTTCCCTTGGCTCTCCCCATAGCTATCACAGTGGACAGGAGTATCTCCTTACATCAGAATGAGACAGGTTCAAGAGTTAAGTGCCAGAAGCATCCATAGTTTCATAGCTGGTAGGGTTGGAAGGGACCTGAGCAGATCATCAAGTCTGACCACCTGTCTGGGCAGGAAAGAGTACTGGGGTCAAACGACCCCGGCGAGGTGTTCATCCAGCCTCCTTCTAAAGACCCCCAGGGTAGGAGCCAGCACCACTTCTCTTGGAAGTTGGTTCCAGATCCTAGCCGCCCTGACAATGAAGTAGCGCCTCCTGATGTCTAGCCTGAATCTACCCTCTGCCAGCTTGTGACCGTTATTTCTTGTCACTCCTGGGAGTGCTCGAGGGAACAGGGACTCCCCCAGTGCCTGCTGGTCCCCTCCAACTAGTTTGTAAACAGCCACCAGATCCCCCCTCAGCCTTCTCTTGTGGAGGCTGAACAGGTTCAGGTCCCTGAGCCTTTCCTCGTAGGGCCTGCCTTGCTGCCCCCGATCATGCAGGTGGCCCTCCTCTGAACCCTCTCAATGCTGTCCACATCCCTCCTGAAGTGCGGCGCCCAGAAATGGATGCAGTACTCCAACTGCGGTCTGACCAGTGTCGCATAGAGGGGGAGGATCACCTCCTTGGACCTGCTTGAGATGCATCTGTGGATGCATGACAAGGTGTAGATGGCCTTCCTGACCGCGTCCCCACACTGGTTGGCCCATGTTCATTTTGGCATCAATAATGACTCCACGATCCTTTTCTGCCTCTGCACTGACGAGAAGGGAGTTCCCCAGCCTGTAGGTCTGCTGCTGGTTCTTCCTCCCCAGGCGCAGTACCCTGCACTTGTCAGTGTTGAAATGCATCCTGTTCTCATCCGCCCACCCCTGTAACCTGTCCAGGTCCAATTGCAGCCTATTCCTCCCTTCTAGCATGCCCACTTCCCCCCACATCTTAGTGTCATCTGTGAATCCCAGCAAAAGTACCACATGCAGATAAAAAAAAATGGTCTATAACATCTCTGGAGAAAAATGCAGATTTGGTAACACAAGCATTTCACAAGCTTATATTTTTTATACTAGGCCAAGGGGCTGGGGGCGGAGAAGGAATTCCTGAAAAAGTCAAAACATTTTGTTGTAATGTTTCAGATCAAAATATTTTGATTTTTTAATTAAAAATGCCTTCTTGTTTCTAAATTTCCTTCAATGCTTTAAAAGCACAAAATCAAAAAGAAACACTGTATTGAGTGAAGCCAAGTCTTTTGTCAGTCACAAAACAAAAATCTGACATTTCATATTGGAAAATGTTGATTATCTGAAACTGCTGTGAACCTGTTACTTACACTGCTCTACCCAGGTCACCCAGGCTTATACTCCTGCCTGGTGAAGTTACATAGGTTTTAGACGAACCCCTTCCTGGGGTTGTTTGACCCCAGTACTTTTTCCTGCCATGGCAGGGGGTCAAACTTGATGATCTGCTCAGGTCCCTTCCGACCCTACCAGCTATGAAACTATGAAACATACCATCAGGGCTGGCTGCCTCCGCCGGCAGACAGGAGCTGCAGGTCTGCTCTTTGGTAGTTCCATGAGCACAGGATTCCTCTGACGCAAGGTTAAGGTCACGTCCAACAGTCAGGGTCCTCTCCTCCTTCTTGCTCACGGGTGGAGGTGTCCATCGGGGAATGAATGTGATTCCCTGAAAGATCAGTTCCTTTAAATAATGCTCAATCACTTCTTTGCCCTGGAAGTATTAACAGAGAGAAATAGCAGAGAAATGAGTTCTGATATCTGGAGAAATCAGTTTTCCAGCTATAAATGAGAGGGGAATACTTCCCTCAGTCCAAGGAAAAAGGGGCACATTTACATGTTTAATATCATTATGTAATACAACTGGAAGACAACAGAGGGGAAAGGAATCAACAACTATCTGTCAGGGCCTGTGAGGAAAACTTCTGTTGGCATATGAAATACTTTCCATAGAGAGAGGAAAAATGTTGCTAAATGAGGTGGCTTCCTGAGCTAAAAATAGATTTGAGCATAGAGTATTGTTTTGAGGCCATGGGATAGGACACCAGGCCTGCATAGACCAGACCCTCATTCTCCTGCAACCCTAATAAACTAAAATGGCCCTGAAGCCACCAGCCTGCCATAATCAAACAGGAGCCAAGATTTTAATGAAGCAAGGCTGATGATCACTCAGAGCCTGTCCTTCCCGTGTGTGAGGACAGGGCTCTGAGGAGCCCAGCACTCCTGTATCATCCACAACCCTCATCCAAAAATCATTCCATGCCAACCTCTATGTGGAGACATTCCAAGGAGCAGATTGCTTTGCCTGCTGGATGCTGACTTAACCTTTGCTGTGTCACACCAAGTGATTTCTGAGATTCAAGGCAGAGTGCAACGAAGCAGTGAGGGCACAACAACCTTTCCATTGCGTCTATTTTACTGAGGAAGCGGAAATGCAGAGTGACTAGGTGACTTTCCCCATAGACCCATCTTGGACAAGTCTGCCCATGAACCTAGGAGGCCTCATGACTGTCCCCCCCTTACTCTAACTGCCAGAAATGCTGTTTCTCCTAACCCTTTACATCCACTGTCACAGCAACCTTGAAGCTCAATAGCCAGTTAACTTAAGGCCATTCCCCAACTCCAGTTCCAATGTGCTTTAAACATTTGGTCTGTATTTCACAGAGCTAGGGGACCCCATCTCTCACCCGCTTGATGTTGGCAGTATACTGCTTCATCGCTATTTTCTCCACAGTGCTTTCAAAGCCAAAGAATGACTTGATGTCCAGGGATGCAGACTGTTCGAAGCATGTCCAGTCCTCATTCTCCGGGTGAACCTAAACCCAGTAACAGAGATGGGCACAGGGTGATATTACACAAAACAATCCTATCAAGGTTGCAGGCCTTAGCCAGGTTTTAACTTAGCTGTTCACTCTCCAAGGCTGAAGACCTGAGGGCTTCCAGCAAAATGCAGATGTCTAAGCATTTACTGATCTTGTTACTACTGGCCACCAGGAAAAACAACCATCTTTCAAAGCAATATTCAATGTGATATCAGCATAGTAACTCCACTATTAGAAACCCTGGGAGTACATTTATAGTTAATACAGGTTTCTCCCTTCACTCCCTTCACCAGTGGCCACCAACTGGTTGATCTCGGAACCTCTTGGAGTCATTCTGAGGCTGTGGGGAGCTGAGCATGCGTGTGCATGCATGCACACTCCCCATCCCCAGACTAGCAGATCAGTCTGTTTGGGGAGGGAAGGGGCAGGGGCCAGATCGAGGCCCCCACAGTGAGGGACAGAGTACCACAGAGGCAGGAGCAGGGGCAAGGGCAAGGTGAGTGGGGCCCCAGTGGGTGGGTGGTAGGAGGACCAAGCCCGGGGCGGCTAGTCCAGGGGTGTGGGGGGTTCTCCTGCCACTGTGCGCACCCCGGCAGAGGCCCCGTGGGACACATGCTGCCCCCATCTGTGCATGGTGGAGGCAGAAGCCGTTACAGGTTGGGCTCTGTGCCCTGAGACCCGCTGCAGCCCGCCTGGGAGTGGCCCAACGCCACATGCGTCCAGCTGCCGGGCAGGCAGGGTACAAGGCTCAGCCCAGCAGCGGGATGCATGTGGAATCGAGCTGTTCACAAGCCAGCTGCAACGGGGCTCAGAGCACAAAGCCCAGTCTGCAATGGCAGCTGCCTCCACCGTGCAGACAGAGCTGTGTCAAGGAAAGAGACCCCCAGGGGAAAATACAAAGTAGCTGTTAAGAGAAAATCTTTATTTTTCCAAGGTGCCTTTGAGCACACTGTGGACCCTGAAAGATAAGAATAAACCTAGCTCCATTCACTCCTCACCAGGATAGAGAAACTGACAAGAACAGGTACCAGGGTCATCTCGAGGATGCAATCCCCGGCTCCTGTTCTCCACTCAGTATCCCAGCTGCTGGTCTTTCTGTCAGAGCAAATCAGCAACAGGAAGAAACATACTGTGGTCAGAGACACTGTTGCAACCCGAATGCTGAACAAACAGTGTCACTGCTGGGCAGAACTGAGAACAACTTATTACAATCAGCAATGAAGACAGAGCACAGTGACAGGAATGCGAAAAAAAAATCAGATCTAGTTGTTTTAAAGATACACACTCCCCAGTGGTTCCTAGTCTAGTGAAATTAAAGCTTTGGGAGCTTTGGAATTATTTGTTTTCCTAGAAGTAACAGCTGTTTACAGCTTCTGTGCTTTTTGAGGAGTTGTTCTCATGTAGAGGTGTCCACAGGGCAGGCAAGTAACATGATCAGGACTTTTGTTAAGGGAACACAGGGTAGTATCTACTGTAGCTGTTCCAGAAATAAAAGACGCTATTTTGATTGACAATCAAGTCCTAATAGCACAGGCTCATTTCACAGCAGATGCATCATCAATGGGAGCACTCTGTTAAACAGTTAAGTGTCACAAGAGCTTTATCTAAACACTAGTGAACTGTCCATCAAGAATGGAGGCGGGGGAGGAGAACAGAGCGCCACCACCCTGCACTGCTGCCACATCCGGGGGGGCTTGCCCTGCCATCCCCTCCATCCCCCTCCACCAGCACCCTGTGCTGCTCTAGCCCCCCTGCTCCATCCCCTCCGTCATGGCAGCGTTCCGCACTCTGATTGGTTGTTTCACTAACCAATCAGAGTACTCCAAGAGCGTTACAGACAGATAGACTGACTAAGCCCTTTATTATGTAAGAACTAGGCAACTGCCCATC